CCCGTCAAAAATGATTGGAGCTTGGATGGGATGTGTTTCCACATACACCACACTCCCCTGACCTTGCGCCATCAGACTTCCACTTGTTTCACTCTCTTCAAAACTCTTTGTGTGGTATAACGTTCAATTCAGATGAGGCTGTAAATCAGCACCTTTTCCAGTTTTTCGCAAATAAAGAAAGGTCTTTCTATGAACAAGGAAGCTCACTGAAAGATGGCAAAAGGTTATCGAACAAAATGGGCAATATATCATTGATTGATCTGTGTTCTTTATATAAATAAATGACCTTTGAAAAACATAGACAAGATACGTCATGACTTTTCCGACGACCCAATACAATTCCAGGAGCAACTTTATAAGGGTTGGCCCAGCCAGCTGGAACACAATGCAGGCAGGCAGGTCAGTGCAGGCAGCAGGTAGTTTAATGCAGGCTTCTTTCTCCCTGAAGCATGGCTTGCTCTCCTGCATAATTGGCAATGGATGCTGGGCTCTGTTCTAAATTTAAGCCCACTTAGGCACCAGGAACCCTCCTTAGTAAGTATCTTCTTTCTTGGGGTCAACACTTTATAAACTTGGAGTGAGAAAGACATTTCTAAATATGATTCAAAACTCATAAAAGAAAATAAAGTACTGGGGAGCTGGGTGAAAAAGGTGAAGAGATTAAAACATACAAATTGGTAGTTATAAGACAGTCACAGGGAAGTAAAGTACGGTGTAGAGAATATAGTCAATAATGTTGCAACAACTATATATAGTGTCAGGTGCATACCAGACTAATCATGGGGAATCGCTGCATAAATTATATAAATGTCTAACCTATGCTATACACCTGAAACTAATATAAAATAATACTGAATGTCAAATACAAGTGAAAGAAATAATTTTTTAAAATAATTTTTAAAAATAAATAAAAGTTCAACATATAAATTAATTTTAAAAATAGTCAAACTCATGGAATCAGAAAGTAGAACCACTGTTGCCAGGAATAGAGGGATGCACATATGGAAAGTGCTCATCAATAGTATAATGTTTCAGTAATGCAAGATAAATAATTTCTAGGCATCTTCTACACAACATTGTGTCTATAACAAAATTGTATTGTATACCTAAAACAATCTGTTAAGAGAGATCTTATGTTAAGCTTCATACCACAATAAAATTTAAATTTTAAAAAAAGAAAATATGGTACTGACATATTTTACTACATTAAAAAAATTAGCACAGTCAAAAGACAAAGGACCCACCTGGGGAAAAATATTTGAAACTCACATCACAGGGGAAAAGTCCACCGAATCTAAAAATAGCAGCTAGATGTCAAACAGAAATAAAACACTAAAAGCTCCCTAGAAAATGGGCAAAGAACATGACAGCCAGCTCCCAGAACAATAAATGTAAATACCCCTTATGCAAAGATATTCAACTGATTCATGTCGTATAATTAAATAATAAATAAAAGTTAAAACAACACTGAAATAACAGCTATCACCTATGAAACTGCCAAAATCTAAACATTTCACAATAGTCTGTTGATGAGGCTATGATGAAGCAGAGCTTTCATGTAAGAAGAATGCAAAACAGTAAAAGATTTATGGAATTTGGCAACATATGAATGACACTAAATATGGATTTATCTTTTATCCAGCAATTCAACATCTAAAAATTTATACTACAGATACACCTGTCAAAAATGACCAGCATATAAAGCTTACTTATTACACATTATTTGTAATTGCAAAAGAATGGAAATCACTCAAGTGTCCATAGTTAAATAAACTATGATACATTCACACAATTAATTAATACTATGCTGCTATAAAAAAAATAAGACGTTATCTACATACTGATAAGGAAATATTTCCAGAATATGCAATTAAACAAACAAATAAACAAGGTGCAGAACAGTGTATAATTTGTTTCTTTTTCTAAAAAAAAAAAAAAAAGATAAAAATATATATTCAGATTTGCAGGCATTTGCATTTTAAAAAAATGACACAGGAGGTGGACATAATATAGAACCTACGAAATACTTTACCTAATTGGTCTCACTATAGCCTGACTGCCTGGGTCTGTCTCTGTCACTTGCAAATTAATTAACCCTGTGAGCCTATCGATAAAATGGAAAGTATATGAATTCTTACCTTACAGAGTTGATATCTGAAAATAAATGAGTTACCATTTGCAAAGTACATAGGACAGTATCATGTACTTAATAAGTGTTTATTAAAGAAACAACTAAAAAAGTAAAACCTGCAGGGCATAGAAGTAAGGTTTGTCTTTGTATACTTTTTTTTTATAACACTTTAGTTTGTAAACTATGACATGTTTAGTTTGGATGCATGATTCTAAAACAATAGTAAATTAATATATAAACTTAAAACTGGCCCCACACCCATTAAATTTAAAAACAAGCCATTTCCAGATCCTAGAATAGTTATCCCCCAGAAAACTTCATGTTCTGAGAAATCAGAATTGAATGGCATCTAAAAGAAGAAGGGATCCTGGAAATATTCTTGGTTTCAGCTTCACCAGGATGTTTTTCAGTTTGTGTAACATACATTCCAGAAAACACCTATGAATATATTAATTCTGACACTATGAATTCATCATACACGGGAGCAAAATGTACTTAACATGCTGCTGCCTCTCTCAAACAATGACATCTGAGACATTCCTTCCTTCCAGGAAAGTTTAAAAATTTGAAATCAAGATCACCAGATTTTATTTGATGTACAATTTTTCCTCTGCAATATGTTTTCAAATTCTCTTCATTTCCATTCCCTCCTTCAAGCCCCCGTTTCTGGTGCTCTGGTACTGCTGGAAATGGAGACTTTATCTTAAGAAACAGGGCCTACAATCTCCCATAAGCAGATATTTTCAATCCTATACATACCACAGTGGCTCTTCCACAACCTCTTGTTGCAGAATTGCTAAGCTGGTGAAACCTGCCTGTTAGGAAGGTTTCTCTTATCACATTTGCTATGGCTGGAAAATCGCTCTCAACAGATTCCTGAACTGAAGCTACAATTGATGTTTCTGAAGCCTGAGGCCCTAGAGGCCCTATGAGAACGAATACCTCCTCCATGTTCTCCTTTAGGCACTGTCTTTCATCACTGAATTGTTCAGGTGTTGAATAGCGTTTTTTTCTGCTACATATATTTCTGCAGCAATGCAATATAGCTCTAGTTTTTTTCTTCTATCCTTCAACTACATTAACTATTTAATATGTTTAGGAATTGAGTCTCAAACTGCTTAAACTGCATATTAATTTGGTCTCTTCTCTAAATAGGATTATTGCTGTTTGGTGGAAATGGATACATGCTTTCTTTTTTGTCTTTTCTAGACTTTAGCCCTCTATTTCTTAAATTCCAGAATCATCTCTACCATCAATAACGAAATCACTAAATTCTGAGTTTACTAAAAACACCTACTGTTTAAACAAGTCTTTTCTCCTCTACTTCCTTGGGATAGATAATTCTGTGGAAGAACTTTTCTACCATCAGACCAACATCAAGCCCATCCAAGCGTTGTCTTAACTCATCTTCTTGCCTGGCTCCTTTCAATATATGCTTCATGTCTTGCTGAGCCATGTCTTGAGTCCTAATTCTTGGGCATGTTCCTTCAAGGCACAAGCTATACCTCCATACAAACCTATTGGGCTGTCGGAAAAGTCATGACTCATTTTTACAACGAAAAACATTGAAAAAATATGTCATAACTTTTCCGACAACTCAATACAATGACCATATGACCTTGAAAATCACGTAATAATACTTTTTTGTGTAGTCAACAGATTTTTCTAGTTTTTCCCAATCTTTAAGATGCTTTTTAATGTTTTTTTACATCATCCCTTTTTCGTCCTATTTTTTTCTTTTGTTTCCATTTTTCTATTAATCCTGAAACATAAGTTTTAAATCATTCTAACACCTTGAACTCCTAAACAAAATCATTATAGCCAGAGCATTCCAAGCACAAATCTTTACTTGCTTTTTTAGCCACTGTTTTTTGCAATTTTATTGAGTTGTTCCTCATCTTCAATTTAAGAAGAAGGTATACGTTCTTTACAGTAAGCGCTCTCATTCATTTTTAAATTTGATTTTCACTAACTATGGGTGGCGTCTCAGTTTAAATCTTGGCAATTAAAAGTCATGATCAGACCATACGGAATTATCAAATTCAGAGGCACTTGAGATCAAGAACTTGCAACTTTTAAACCTACGGACAAATCACATAACTCCTAGACTTGTCCCTTTAATGTTCCCTCTCGATTCTAAAGGAGAATCAAGACAATTCAATCAAAACAGAATCTGAGCAGACATTTTACGCCACCAACGTCGGCCGGGCACTAAAAAGTTCTTGCAAGCACTGCTGGATATAGTCAAAACACTTTGAGCACTATAAAAGGGTGGTACATGAAAAGACTCTATAAACAAACCATTGTCTCATCAAGGCTACTTAGAAAAAAAAACACGTATGCCAAGTACTAGGTCAAGCAGCGGCAATTCCTTGGTTAGGACAACTTCATAAGGCTGTCCCAGCACTCTTGGTCAGATTTTGCTTGCTGAGCCCTTCAAAACTTGCCTATCTGGAGGTCCGAAGTATGCCGACTTGCCTCTACCGAAATGGGTGTTTGCTAAGATACGAACCACCCCTCCCCCATGGACAAAACTGCCATAAGCTGCGACAACTCATTACAGCTAAAACGAAGCGGTCGGTGCCTAGAACACTGTCAAAGTTTCACACCGACTGCAGCCATGCCAGAAGCACGCCGCCAAGTTTTACTCCACACTCAGCAACACAGAATTCCTCTTTTTCACTTTCTCTTTATTCCCACTCTACTTCCTAGACGTTGGGGCGTGAGGAAGGCCCGATAAGTAAGGTCACTTTTTTCTGAGAGAGATAAAAGGAAAGGAAAGCAGCAGGAAAACTAAAATATTTCCTCATAACCGCTAGAGAAGATATAGAAGGATGTGGCTTATAACAGCAGAATTAGATAGACTTACCAACTACGTCACAGACAACATCCAAAGGAAGATGGCGCAGAGGTAGTTGCGTAGCTGCCAACTTCACAGCCTGCAGGAGCGGATGAAACCGATCACTTCCGACAGGCAGCTCCTCCCCAACAGGAAAGGAAGGGGCGGGTCATGCCAACGGTCTCTTTTCAAATTGACCAATCAGATAACTGATTGCCACCTCCACCGGAAGAAATGAGACTGAGAATCATTAGGTGTGTTGTTCTGATACAGGTCCCTCCACAGTGAGGGAAACAGCATTGGGAGAATAAGTGGTCCCACTCCTCAACATATCGCAGTCTCTCATGTTGGGGTCTTTTCCTTCCATGGCGTATCAGCGTTTTGGCAAGCTCACTGGCTCTTTCTCTAAGTTAAATCTTCATCCTACCTGGTCATGAGAGAACTTCGAGATTGGCTGTAACCGCAAGGAGAGCTACAAGTCTTTCATAGTTTATCTGACAACTAAGCATGCCAGGTTGTTAATTATAGCAGCCATATAAGACATTGTCCAAACAAGGACCTTTGAAAGTCAAAGGGTGCAATAAACTTCTTTCAAGTTAAAAAAATAAGTGAGATGTTACATTGGTGAATTTATAAAAAGTGCAATTCAAAGTTCATTTTGTTAAATTATCTCTAAAATTTAAAATAAGTAAAAACATTTTAAATGTCCTTACAGTGATACAAATTAAAAATAACAATGTAAACTGTTGGCACATGTGATGTATTTAAATTAGTGTTTCCACTTTATAATACTGGGTCACTAATATTTTTCTGAAGAAAAAATTTTAATATGGTATTGTTTTTAAATTTTTTATTTGCCTACTTTCTTCTCAAATACATATTTTATGATTGGTATATGGGAAATCCGAGCACCTCAATTTAATCTTCACTGTAGGTTATAATGTTTTAAATAAAAAATAAATAAGTTCAGAGAAATTGTACTAAAGAAAAATATCATTTGTATATTTTATATTGAAATATGTAAATTTTTCAGCCCAAATATTTTCACAAGTACTGTCTTTTTGTCTCCATTCAAAATACCAATCTTCAAACATTTGTATGACACAAGCTTCATAATATAAATTTTCCATAATTTATGGGGTTTGTTAAGGTTTTGCCAAATTCAGATGCTGCACATTGGAAAGCATTTTAGATTTCATTTTATTTCTATAAGAATGTGAATTTATTCAATTATAATAGGAGCTCCAAAACAGTCTTTATATAAGTTAGTATGTTCCAAGGTACAATTATAGAATTTCAAAACTGAAATCCAATGAATCTGTTTAGGTTATTCTTTGATTTTGTAGGGGTTAATTTAAATGTTTTCCTGTGTCACAAGCTTTCTTTTCAATAACTGCAATCTGAAAAATCTTCAAAATCTGAATTTTATTAACAATTTTTGAGTTGTTTGATTAAAAATTCTAAATGATTTTTCACGAATGCAACAAAATTTTATAAATTTTGCTTATAAAAAATTCAGTACCTTTATAGACCATTTGGATTTATTTACAAAGTGTATTTTAAAAAATCAAATATTTGTAAAATCCTATTCAGGGACAACAAAGAGAGGAAATGTGCTATTGTGTTTGAGTCTTTTTTTGGTTCTCAATTCTCCAGTTTTATCGCAGTTTTATAGCTTTCATTCATCAAATTGTTATACATAACTATATTCCTGAATTTTGACAATTGTAAATTCTATGTCAATTGCACTTTGGATGCATTTATGAATTATATGCACACCACAGCCAATTCCAAGGATATAGTTATTCCAAAGTTTTCTGAATAAGAATTTTTATTTTTTTTACTGCAAACTTGTGCTCTGCCCAATATAAATTTACACTATACTGGGGATAATTTTATTTTCAATATAATCCTTTAACTGAATATAAAATAACAAAATAACACATTTTACTTTTGGAGAATGCATTTTCAAGTTTTGATTTGACTTCATATATTGAACAGAAAAAAACATTGGAAATTATTTAACTGATTTTCCATTTGAAGCATCTGATAACAATGATGTAAAACTGGATTTATGTAGCAACCAACATGTCTCAACATACATGCACTAGAAGACTTATTCTTAAAACTAAGAAAAACTAATTAGAAGAATAATCATTTATTCTAAAGGAAAATTTCTATTTCACAGTTTTATATGTACATCTGCCTTCTGTAGCCATGTGTTAATGTTTTTATCTTCCGGTTCGATCTACTTAAAATAACTAGTCAGTTCTCATTTAACGTTGTCAATAAGTTTTGCTACTTTAAGGGAAACAATGTGTAATGAAACCAGTTTTACCATAGGCTAATTAATATAAACAAGGATTAAGTTCCTATGATATCTCATCAATGTTATAAGGAAATGATGTTGAATGAAACAATGTGATTGGAGGACCTGCTGTATTAACCTTTCAAGTAGATGCTGATGATTCTTCTTCAAGTCTACATCTTCTGATTTTCACAATAATATCTTAAATGTTCTCTTGGTGGGTGATAAGTATTGACACATATTATGTGTACTTTACATATCATTTATCGGCTTTCTTGCAAACAGGCATTTAATTTTAAAAATACCATTAAACATGCACTTTGCTTTTTTTAAGTTCACTACTCCTGAAAAGGTTTATTGCAAAATTAAAAGTTTTGCTGAATAATAAAATATTTATATATTTATAGTATATAGCAAATCATAGAACTATAACAAGAACTTTCCACTACTATGTATGTGCTCAAGAGCAGCATGAGTTAGCCGCAGTTGACCAGGCAGATTTTGTGTACCTTTATCTATAGTGTTCCATTGAGCCTACCTTTTGGCATCTTAAGCATGGAGGCCTTCTGCATATTTCAGGCCTGTATATGAACCAGGCCACAACTGGATGGTACTCCAAGTGGACAGCAAGAGGAATAGCATCAGATATTTGCCCATTACCACCTAAGTAAGATCAGAAGGAGTTACCTTTCCTACCTGTTTCTAAGCAGCTAGTGTCCCAGGTGACCTTGCTTTATTAGTAAATGTCTTATACAATTTTCTTAAGAGAAATATGTTGATTATGTTGGACCCGCAAAAATCAAGACAAGAGACAATCTATTGTTGATTGTCTTTCAGGCTTGACCACATGTTAACATCAGAATTTTGTTTACTACACATGTTTCAAACGTTTCAAAATGAGATCATGGCAGAAGTAAGAAGTATGAGGTCAAGATATGAAAACCCACCGTGAATTACTTTAATGAAAACATGAATACTAACTTTTCAACAGAAATTCAAAATCTGGTTTAAATACTCTGTTGGACAAGATACCAGGAAATAGAATATACATTATTTTGTGTGGCACGTTTCTGTAAGCCTGACACCTTCAGAACTCTCCAGATAAGGAGGGGAAGCAAGTCCCCTTTGAGAAGACCTTCTAACCCAATGACACATATTTTGTTTACTTCCCTTCCTTTGTACTTACTTCTAACTACATATATTTTGTTTTGTTCACTCACAGAGCTTACTCTCAGAATTGAGCAATGGAAGACTGCACTTACCTGTCTTCTTTTTCCATAACTCTTTGTCTCCTCTATCTCTGAATACTGACTACCCTGCTCCACTTCTCCATTTAGTTCTCACTTAGGAATCCAAGTTGGGGAGAAGGGGTGATTGGAATGCTCTAAAGAAGATTTTTGTCAATTGCCAGATTGGCTCTTTTCTTCATAATGGAATATGAGGAAAAATTAAACTCAACAGCTAGGATGAAAGCAGAGTAAAAAGATGAGAAGTACAGGGTATAGATCTAAGGGAGGCATTTGTGGAGACTTTTGGAGGAGGGATATGGAGATAGCTGTGGAATGTGGGAAAAGTGATGGGACATAAAAGAGGATTTTAAGAATTGTTCATTGCTATTATATGTATATACTTCATGGTGTTTAAGAAGTCCAGGTAAATAAATTAATTCACTTGGAAAATTATTTTTGATTGCTGTGCTGATTCTATGACCACCAGAGTATAACCCTATGATTTCAAATGGACAAAAAATAGAACAACCAATGGAATTTAGGAGAAATTTTCATATAATAATGTCTTGATCAAAAAAATGGTTCAAGTCTAAAATAATTACCTAGCTATACTAGCACTTGTGTGTTACATCTATGATACCAGACTACGCAGACGATAGCCAGACTACCCATGTGATTTTATGAGAAGCTGTGCTTCATGCTTGCTGACAAGTTTTTGCTTTATATTATTTGTTTTTCATTGATCGCTTTCAGGTAATTTTACAGAGCAGACATCTCCATTTATTTAGATCATATGAACTGCTTGTTTTATAGACTATCTAAATTCCTAAAACTCTACCTCAAAAACTGATTTAAAATTTTCCTTGTTTCAAATTGCCACTTAATTGTCACAATTGCCAGCCCGCCATTTGGTCTGAAGTCAATTAACTAAATAAAGGAACAATTAATTGGCTAGTGTAGTATCAGCAAAATGATATAACGTCTTCACTGTCGCAATCCCAAAGCTCAGAGTCCTTTTACTTAATTGTGCTGTTACTTTTAGCTAAGGTTGAGGAAGAAATCACTCTGTCCTGATAATTCTTTTCCCTGGAATCTGAATGACCTCTAATTTTTACACCCTGCTGAGAGAAACATATGTGACCCATTTCTCTCACAGTCTTGCTTCATGTGTTATAAATGTAGAGATATATGTCTTCTCTGGGTTTTATTGAAGGATGAATGATTCTTCCTCTACATACTCTCTTCTATATTGGTGTCACAGGTCAAAGGGAAATAATAGCTTGGGTTATTTTTCATAGGCTTCAGTTCTGTACTAATTATAAAGCTAATTATTCAAAGACGTGGGTTTTTTTGTTGTTTAATATCTCAAATGTGGAAAGTCTAGGGCCAACATATCTAAATTCCATAGAGGTTTATCAACTGCCAAAAAGGTGTGAAATGTCGGCATTCACTAAATAGGTCACTGAATAATGTTAATATATGTGACAGATCAAAGATGGCTACAATTCTTTGAGACTCCTCCCATTGAGAAGTAAGGTCTGTGTCCACTCTCCTTGAATCTGAAAGGACTCTGTAACTAC